CCCATTTGCACTCTGTCTCAAAATAAATAAACTTAATAAGTAAAAAAATAATAAAATTGAGCATATTTAGGACAAAGGTGATGCACTGGTGGCCTCCAAGGGGTGAAAATTTGGTATACAGCATGCTCACATGTGTGGTGGTTTTTCAACAGAATTCTCAAAAGAAATGCTGACCGGTGCAAAGTAAATGGAAACCGAATGCTAAGGAAAGAACTCTGTTCTGTGAACAGGGTTCCACAGAAACCATTTTGAGACCCACTGATGCAGTTCAACCTGTTCATTTCTGGATGGTTAAAGAGGGGCCCAGATGGGCAACGGAGCTGTGCCCAAGGCCACTGAGTTCACGAGGGGCAAAGTCCGCATGAGAACCAGGCTCTTGACTCTGTGTTAGGCGCTGTCGAGGGTCACGGTTGGCCACGCATGGAATGCTGAGACAGTGGATCCGCTGGGTGCTCGGAGTCCGAGCCACCCAGATCCACCCTGACACTTACCTCAAGCAGATACGGCACCAGGCGGCAGACGACCTCCACCTGACGGGGGCACAGCCCCACTTCCTCCTGGGCTTCCCGGACAGCCGTGGCCACATCATCCACATCTGTGGGTTCACACTTGCCTCCAGGAAAGCAAACTTCTCCAGGAGACCTGCGTAGCTGGGAATTGAAAGGGCAGAGTCGCAATGTGGGATTCCCACTCAGGCACCATTCACTCACTCAGCAAGGATTTACCGAACTTGTGTCACAGACCGGTCCCACCACCCTGGTGGGAGTAAGCGGAAAGAAGACTGCCCCACCACACACACACACACACACACACACACACACACACACACAAAGTTTTTACTTGAATCCTTTTAAAACATGAACTTTGCGAACTCCCTTTACTTGTCACCGTTCTCAGAAAAATCTGTATCTGCCCAGAAGATACAGATTTACATGGACGGGGGAAGAAAAGCAGGAGGGGTGATACAAAGGACACTGTGACCAGCAGATAAGCTTTACTGAGTCCCACCATGTTCTGGGCATGTTGCTTCACAGGAGCCCTCAGATCAGCTCCACATGCTGTTGGGTTTTTTTTAAAGCATTTTTTTTTTTTCAACGTTTATTTTATTTTTGGGACAGAGAGTGACAGAGCATGAACGGGGGAGGGGCAGAGAGAGAGGGAGACACAGAATCGGAAACAGGCTCCAGGCTCTGAGCCATCAGCCCAGAGCCCGACGTGGGGCTCGAACTCACGGACCGCGAGATCGTGACCTGGCTGAAGTCGGATGCTTAACCGACTGCGCCACCCAGGCGCCCCAAAGCATTTTTTTTTTAATTGAGATGAAATTCACATAACATGAAATGAACCATTTTAAAGCGAACCATTCAGTGACATCTAATACATTCACAGTGGGATGTGAGCACTGTCACTACCTGGTTCCGGAATATTTTCATCCCAGAGGGAGACCCTGTACTCACTAAGCAGCTGCTCCCCACCCCTCCCTACCCCGCCCCTCCTGTCTCTAGGGATTTACCTACCCCAGGTTATTTCATATACATGCAGTCATATGACATGTGACCTTTCGTGTCTGGTTTCTTTGACTTAGCATAATGTTTTAAAATTTTTTTAATCTTTAAGTTTTCAACTGAAGTATAGTTGACATATAATATTAAATTAGTGGCAGGTGTACAATATCGTGATTCAACAATTATATATACATTACACCGGAGTGAGGTTTTCACGCTCTTCTGTGTTGTACCACGGCATATCAGCACTTTTTCCTTTTCATGACAGAACGGTATTCCACTGTATGTATATATCACAATTTGTTATCTTTTCCAAAATGTTTTTTTTT